TTGTAACGCTGCTGAACAATGGTTCGCGCTATGATTCCAGATTATTTGTACGCGGCAACGATCGATACCGTCTTCACAACCTGTTCATAATCAAATACGACGCATTTGGTTGGTATGCAGCGTCTTTCATTCATCCATTCACTCTGAAAGAGCACCAATATCAACCCGGTCAGGACATAGAGCGAACATTCCAAGCAAATCTTAGGAATACACATGGCTATCGTTTTATATTCTATTACTCAAGACTGTTGTCTCTAAACTCAAAGGATTACAGAAAGTACGGATATTTCTTCCAAACCATCGCAAGAGCTTGGGGCGGAAGGGCAACTATTTTATCTTACATGTCGAAAGAAGAGCTGATGCCCGATTTTATGCTTATCGAAGACCTTTATTATAACATGAAGAACATGACGCTCCAGAAACTGCTCCCTATGAATCAGTTCCGGTATTTGTGTGCAGTGACTCCAGCCCAAGAAAAAGAGGTTCCTTGGCTACGTATTTTCATCGATCCTTTCCACTGGACTGTTTGGACCACTTTCCTGATCGTAGTTGAGCTTTTCGCTGTATTCATCTATCTATTCGGTTACCGAGGTAGCATTCGGAGAGGTCTATTGACCATTCACTTCGATCTGTTCCAGATATTCATTGATGGACCGTCCGATCGACAACGGAGCCGCTCGGAGGACTTTGTTGTTGGAATGTTTGTACTGCTGAGTATGATTCTAATGGCAGTGTATGAATCGGCATTGGTTTCTTCGATGTCTGTAAAACGGTTCTATCCGGAAATCGACACCGTCGAAGAAGTGAACAACTCCAAATACCCAGTGGTGGTGTTCAAAAATGCTGTGGAGCAGTTTAATCTTAGCTTCAAAAATATGCTTTACTTCTTGGACGATGAGCGGTTCACCGATTATCGGGGGTTTAAATTTACCGATTATCAATTTGTGATTGCATGTGATACTGAAGTCTTGTATAATCAAAGACCTGAGGAGGGACGGATGCATACCGTTGAGGAGAAATTTGCCACTCAGACTGATACTTTTGCAGTCAGCAGTTTTTCGCCTTATGGAGAAATGGTCTACAATTACTGGAATGCCTTCATGGAGGCTGATCTGTTCAAGTACTGGTATCTGAGGGTATATGTTCCGAAATATTTCGAACAGAGAACTGAGCACAACATACGACCCTTCACTCTGCAGGACATGAACATTGCGTGGTTTGTAATTATGGTTGGTCTATCGGTGGGTGGTTCGGTTTTTGTGGCTGAGCTAACTGCTATATTTTGTACTCGAAACCAAGTGCTTAAGGTATTGCGTGCTTAGAAACTGCATCAGAACGTTATCTTTCAAACGAAAAGGGTACCGGTTAGTATTAAGTTGTCCAAAATGGTCCCACACTGGCCTTGAAGCGTTGTGTAAACTGCACCATTTGTGTATTCTTCGGTGCACGGATCAATAATATTTACCTTATTTGACAAATAACAGGTAATCATCAGTGTTGCCACATTTTTTTCGGTAATCGGTATTTTCTACCGTACAAAATCTGTTTAATCTGTATCTGCCAGATACAGAGGCTGACAAAAATCTGAAAAATAATCTGTACAATTTCTTAATTATGATAGTGCGGATTTTCGTATACCTCCTTTTCAAATTTCCGAAAGAGTTTTCCAAAGTTTAGAATCTTGCAAAATGATTTTAGTTTGTTAAGTTAATCTACTTAAATATCTCTGAATCCTAAATCATGATATTTTTTTTTAGGATTAGTATCTTTTCTACAAGTATAAAAATACAAAAAAAAAACCAAGTCCCAGTAGTGAGAACAATTCTCATACTTGTTTTTAATGAAGTAGCAATCACATTTCCCTAGAATTTGAATGTTTATGTCCGAGATTAAGAACATCTTTATCTAATCATTTATATTTTTCAGCTCAACAATTTAGCGGCGCCGGTGGTGTAGTGATAAGCGTGATTCCTCTCACTCCAGCAGGCGTGGGTTAAATCCCAGTCGGCACCGCCGGGATGTTCTGAAGTCATAACATCTCTGATCACACCTTCCTTCGGAAGGGAAGTAAAGCCGTTGGTCCCCGGTTCATGAGTTGATGGGTCGATAGGTAGGGTCCAGGAATAAGAGCTGCCTCCCTGGCGTCGGTAGCATTGGAGCTCAGCACGGAAAACAAGATCAATGGAAAAACAAATCAAGGGAAAAAAAACTCAACAATTTGAGAAAATGAAAAATTTGAACATTAAAAGTTTATGATTTATGTATTACTTATTAAATTTTAATGGAATGCAGTGTTGGGAAAATATCAAAAAATCAAATCTCACCAACGCTCAAGATCACGCTTGATTTTCGTAGACAAAAAACAACAAGCAAACTACTTCGGTTGATTTTGCAAGCTGTGATATCGCAGCTCGGAATATCAAGCTAACAAAACTCACCAACTGCAAATCTCACCAAACTGTGGTGAGATTGAGCTTAATGATTTTTGCTTCACACCCGAATGCAACCGAAACTTCCATAACGGCTTGCAGCAGTGCCTTCGCGTCTGCCATCGATGAAGATTAAAAAGAGATAGCAAACTATGCTTTCTCTTTCTAAAAAAAAAACGATGTGCAATGGAATCATTTTTGTGTCGAGTCAACTCTCCTCAGCTTGATTTTTGCACATTGTGAATAGTCTCGCAATATCAAAGGAGTTTGTAAAATCAATATCAAGTATGATATTTTGTTCCAATATCACGCGTGATATTGCGAGCGCATGAGAGCATAAAAATATCAATTGATTTCGGATATTGCCTACACTGTGCATAAATATAATCAAGAGTTATACTCCATTCTACATTTTATTCGGTTGATTTCAATAACAAATTTCTGAATTATTTCGTTTTTTGGATTGATTCGATTCGCAATGAATAATCGTAATCACATCCACTATTCATCGATAATGTTGAATGTGTTAGAATTATCGAGCATTGTGCTGATACAATTTTTAGTATGTATATGTTAACTCTCAATTTTTTGAGCATGTGAATCTGAACCGAGCATGGTTTGTGAATGTTTCATGTTTCAGTTATGGAAATAATATCTGAGCCACTGGGCAAATCTGTTGAGTAGGTGATTGAAGTGCTCAGTTATGTCCTGGAGATTTCCAAGAATTTAGACTGGCTAAAGAAGATTGGTTGCTCTTGGTTGCAAATTGTATCAAACAGATGGCATTAAGTGCAAATAATGTTTGCACAATGTTTTCCGAGAAGACTTTGCCATGTTCCTATCGTTCCTACACACTTAATCACGGTTTCCTTGTTCGGTAATTTTTTTACAGTTCTGTACTGTAAATCACAAAAAACTACCGAACATTTAGCTGTTCTCAATAACATTACTGACGTTCATCAGTTTTTGCAAGAAACTACTGAATGCGGTAATAGCAATTACTGAATTGACCGTAAAATAACAGTTTTACGGGAAATGACTAAAGCTCAGTGAAATTGAACACCGAGTTTTTAGTACCAATTATGTTTTACTGAAACAGTCATCAAACGAAATTCCAAAATTACTGGAGACTCTCTTACGTCATTCTCCTTCGTTCCACCTCGCGCACTTGACTTCAGAAATTTGTGTGTGAAAATAGCAACATGTTTGTGAAAATTAGTTAAATGACTGGAAGTCAACGCAAGAGTGCAGAATCATTCACGAAATCGGGCAGTTACTGCACTCCTACATCGACTTCCAGGTGTTCCATTGTATTTGCGGCAAAGAATTTCAATTGTATGTAGCAGTGCTCCAGACTTAGGCACGCAATCTGGCACTCCAAGAAAGCAACCAGCCGGCTGAACCACGAGGAAGTATTGAGCGCTTAAGCTGGACTATAGCTCAAGATAAGTTTAAACAGCATCATTGCTATTATGCCTCTAAACAAAATAAACCTGAGTCCCATAATAAAAATCTTAAAAAATCCGAAATAATTTATTTAATACTCATTGATATTTACCCAAGTAACATTGCAGGTTTTATCGCGGTTTTATATCATTCTACAAGTCTAAATCATGGCCTTCAAAACCCTCATAAAACTTAAAAATTTACTTGGGTTTTCATCAAAATACTGAAAAACTCAGCAAAAATAATGTTAACAAATAAATTACTGGCAAAGTCAGCAATTCTTTTACATAATTTTGACATTTCAGGGATTTTTCCACTCACCGAGTTTTCAGTTAAACCAACAACTACTGAGTTGATTGCAGAAAACTCAGCTGTTTAAAAACTCAGTAAAATTTTACCGACTTCAGTTATCTAAACTCTGTGTGTAGGGTTTTTGATCTAATTTCCGTCCTACTAAGCACATCCCGCGCTTTACCTCTCCTTTGTGAACGAGTTTAAACAAACAATGGACTATTTCTGTCAAAGATGGCTTCTAAATTTATTCACCTTTCCATAGGAACCGTTGGATTTGATAAAAAGTCACAAATTGTTGAGATATTGTTTAAAATCTAACACTGCTTCTTGATTCTAATTTCGTTCTACGAGTTTCAATTCCGTCCTTACGCATTGAAAGGCCATTAGATTTTCTTCGTCCTATGGAAAAACGTAGAAAAAGAGGATTCGCTAGGAGCGCTTCTTTTGTTTTGGGAACAATGAGCGTAAATATTCATATAATGCGCTCTAACTGGATTTATGATTCTGCTAATGAACTAACGCATCGGAACAAGCCTATTATTTATTTGTGCATGGTGAAATCATTGATATTATTGATCTTTTCTGATAGATAGATATGATAGATATCGAAAAAATCAGTCAAATTCTCCCAACACCACGCTTGGACGATATTCGCCGTGTGGGCCGGTGCGCCGTCCTATTGAAAGACGTAATGATCCTTCCCCTAGAGGTCCCGAAGTGCCGTGGCCACAACCTTCTCCAGAACCTCGGTCTTATAGTAAGTGGCTTTAATTTTTTCACGTTTTTCTCGATAAACACCAATAGGAGCTTCCCACGCCTGGATACGGCCCCTCAAGCCATTACCGACGCGGCGCTCTGGAATCGCGGGATGCTTATTTTCGACGGGGGGATGCTGGCCAACGTCGACGCCCACAGCCGATCATTTTGGACATTGTGCGGCTGTTGCAAGACAAAGAGCTTCTCATCAGAAAACACGAACTCCTGACCTGCGTGCCGCGAAAGTATCAGTTTGGTTCTGTCCAGCCTCTTCTTCGTTGTAGCCTCCGTTACCCCGTGAACCATGCGTTTCTTGTACGGCTTGTATCGCAGGTCCTTCGTCATGATGGTGTGGGCAGTCTCGATTGACACATCCAGGTCAGCAGCGGTCTTCCGGATTGAGCGGTTCATTTTTCGACGAACCCGCTCCCTCACCACCTTGAGGGCTGCTGGCGTCCTTGCCGAACGTGAGCGCCCAGATCTCGCACGGTCCTTGGCCGAACCCGTCTCCTGGTACCAACGGATGGTGGTATAGATGAAATTCCGCTTCACCCCTCTCGCAAACAACTTTACTACGACGTCGCGGTACTCCTTCATCGTGCGCGGTAAGCAAAAACCAAATGACAGCAAGTCGACACCGTGCGCCTCGGTTACCCTATATATGAGGCTAAATCGGACACCAATACCAATACACAAACTGCACATGGTGCGTACCTACACAACGATGAAAAGTTGTATTCCAACTTATTGAACACCCAGTAGGGTAGAGCGCTACTTCGTCGTAATCGCCCATTTCCGTTCTATCGATCAGAAAAGATCAATAATATCAATGATCTCACCGTGCAAAAATCAATAATAGGTTAGTTCATTAGCTACAACATAAATTCCATTAGAGCGCATTGTATGAATATTTACGCTCATTGTTCTCAAAACAAAAGAAGCACTCCAAGCGAATCTCCTTTTTCTACGTTTATCCGTAGGACGAAGAAAATCTAATGGCGTTCCAATGCGTTTGGACGGAATTGAAACTCGTAGGACGAATTTAGAATCAAGAAGCAGTAATAGATTTTAAACAATATCTCAACAATTTGCGGCTCTGTATCAAATCCAATGGTACGTATGAAAAGGTGAATAAATTTAGAAGTCATATTTGACAGAATTATTCCCCTTTTTTTTGTTTAAGCTCGTTCAGAAAAGAGAGATAAAGCGTGGGTTGTGCTTAGTACGACGGAAATTAGATCAAAAACCCTATAAGCCATTTTGAGAAAACACATGGAACAGCTTCTGGAGGCCCCAGAGGAAAAGGCCTTTTTCTAGATTCAGCAGAAACTAGTTATGCGAATATTCAAATTTTCAGAATTTTCTGGTCATGTCATTGTAGACCATGCCAGTTGACAAGAGTGACAATGACCCAATGTCCCTGGAACAGGTTCCGGATGCTCCGGAGGATGTGGCCAATCTATGATTTCAACAAAACCAGGCGTGCGGACCATGGAAATAAACTGGTTTTGTAATGACCACCCAATATCCCTGGAACAGGTTCCGGAAGCCCAGCAGGTTGTGGTCAACCTCTAAATTCAACAAAAACTAGTCATTCGACATATAAAAATATCTAGAAATTCATGGATAATTCATTAGAGACCATGATAATTTACTAGAGTAACAATGGGGGTCAATCATGGGCTTCTGGAACCTGTTCCGGGGTCATCGCTATGCCATTGTATTCTGCTTAGTTAGTATGGTCTTTAATGAATTGTCTACGAAATTATGAAAATTTTGATATGTCGCACGACTGTTTTGTTTTACAATATGAGACTGGCCTCTTCTCTGAGGCTTCCAGGATCTGTTCCAGGGCCATCGGATGGTTTTTGTCACTCTTGTCAGATGGCACACGGCGAATGAGAACGACCCAAATTTGAGTTTAGATCACTCATAATCGCCAAAAGTGCAGGAACTCAGCGATGAGTAAAATTTGTCTCACGTTTTCCCATGTTTTTCCTGGATTTTCCAGGGAAAAATTCCCGAATTTAAGAAAAGTAAAGATTGGATTCACTCAGTCTATTGGTACTACTCCGAGACTGAATATAATTTTCGTCAATTTCCTCATTTTCCGGCAGATTTTTTAGGTTTTCCACAGGAAACCATGAGACAAATTCACTCATCGCTGAGTTTCTGCACTTTTGGAGATTATGAGTGAACTAAACTCAAATTTGGGTCGTTCTCATTCGCCGTGCATGGTCTCTTATGACATGTCCATGAAATTATATAAATTTTGATATGTCGTACGACAGTTTTCTGTTGCAATGAGATACTGGTCACTTCCCCGGGGCTTCCGGAAACTTTTCCAGGGTCATCGGGTAGTCTTTGTCACTTTTGTCAGTTCACAAGGTCACTTTTGTCATTTGACAGGGTCTCTAATGACATGCCAATGAAATTCTAAAAAATTATACATACATGCCACATGACTAGTTTTTGATAAAATCAGAGTTTGACCACCCCCCAGGGCTTCCGAAACCTGTTCTGAGGACAATAAGCGGTCCATTCCAAAATTTAGTTAGTTTTAGAGCTTTCTTTACATTTTTTCCCTTGATTTGTTTTCCGTCGATCTTGTTTTCCGTGCTGAGAACCAATGCTGCCGACGCTAGGGAAGCATCTCCCACACCTGGACCCTACCTATCGACCCATCAACTCATGGACCGGGGACCAACGGCTTTACTTCCTTTCCGAAGAAAGGCGTGATCGGAGATGTTATGTCTCAAAAAATCCCGGCAGCGCCGACTGGGATTGAACCCAGGCCTGCTGGGATGAGAGGTAATCACGCTTACCACTACACCACCGGTGACGCTAAGGGCATCTAAGTTCATGACAACAGTCATTGATGCCCTATAAACGTTTGTTTGAATGATGATACTGTTAAGCTATGGAACATCACTAAAATTAAATTGAAATTTATGCACTTAAATATACCTTCTTGTTGTAAAGAACTTATCAGATCAATCATTAGAGTTCCTTGATGAAATCCTATCAAGATTTCTATTGAAATCTATGACCGGAGATTGTATACGAGACAGCTGAAAGACGATTAGACTGACTCAAAAATGAGTCGAGTTGCCTCAATTCCGTCAAAAATGGATTTACTTAAAAGTTAAGTGAATTTGAATATGATGAAAATCAGTGACAATTTTATTTATTCAAGGAGTATACTAATAGACCGAGTGAGACCTCTATCGGTTTTGCTCATATTAGAGAATTTTTTCCTGGAAAATCCCGGAATATTCAACTCACTTTTGACGAAATTGATTCGACTTGACTCAATTTTGAGACGGTCTGATCGACCATGTGGTACCGGTACCTACACGGAGAAAAAATACTACCCAAAATTTGAGTTCTTTTTACTTAATATTGAGTTCAGCCTCTCACTTGCACTCTTTATTGTTGTCAAAAAAGGAACGAGAGATTCGACCCAACGATATCGTTCAGCCCAATAAGTTACTTTTTGGTAAATTGCATATTCTCAAATTTACAAGAATTAAACTTAATTTTGGGTAGAAATACTTAAGATTAAGTTTTTTTGCTGGTGTTAAATGGAAACTACTATATGCGATTTACTCAAATTTATGTTATTGGGCTGAACCCCGGAAATGAGAGAAAAGTACTTAGATTTGGGTAGTTTTTCATCTCCGTGTATATTCTACGGAGTTTGAAGCTTTTTGAAAACTGGAACATGGATGTTAATCACTACTTTTATAAGCATTTGGTTGTTATGTTTGCTTAACTCTTTTAGAATGGGTGGCGAGCGTTGATGGTATTTCAGATGTTTAATCAAGGGAATAATCTTGGTTGGTTCCGCTTTGCCGGGCTTGTCATCAGTCTGTGATTGATCAACATACGCATAGCAATGTGTTTAATCGAATTCAAGCGTTCATTTCATCGAATTGGCAAAAAATGGTTGAGCTGTTACATCTACTATATAGGTATCACTCGCCTACGATACAATGTTTACAAATCCTAAATTGACTGGAAAGCGTTCTAATTTTGTTTGCGCGTATAACGGGGAAAAGGTGGTGAAACTCTTGTCGTGTAAATGCTTATGTAAATATCTGTATATATTGTCTGGACGAAAAAGGTTGATTATTTCAGGGAGTTCACTTCATTCAAGCCCCACCACTACGCTGCTGCCTAGCCGTCACGGATATCGTACAGGACTTTGACACAAACTGGATCACATCGAACCGATTTCCACCATGTAGGAAAACATACTGATAACGGCTGTATTCATTCAGACAACATCGACGTAGTACTGCGGTTCCTGTTGTTCACGACGGATTTTCCTACAGGCTCCGGCCACTACCAACGCTTCCAAGGTGAAGATTACTGAAAAGAAGGGAACATTTTTAGGAACCGTTTTCATTGCACACGTGTGGACTTACAAGTAAACATTATGATGATCTTCATCTCTGTAACTGTCTTTTCCATGTAATCTTCATTGTACTCTGTAGCCGACAGGACAACTCGTCGCACGATGGCGGATGCCTTCAAGGTTATGGTGCAGGTCTGGTAAATTTGTAGAAGTTTCTCCATCCGCTGAAATCGAAAAAGTGTTGAACTTATTTAAGTTTCAATTCCCAATCAAAATACGGACCAGTATTGGCAAAATAACCAATCAAATGATATTTTTCCGCTCCCATGCGCTCTCAACCAAAGAACACGCACTTTTTTAGTAATTTTAATACTTTGAAAATAGTAATAACTTTAATCTGAGTACTTTGAGAGATATTGAAAGTTATCAACAAATAATTCACGATACTTAAAATGATGAAAGGATTTTTAGATATATTTAAAATAATTCAAATATTAGTTTTTGTTAGTTATTAAAGTATTTAATGAATTGAAGAGTGTATTTGAAGTGATAAAAACAGTAACGATAAGTTTTAAAATATTTTTCCAGCACGCTGCGATGCATTGGAAGACTTTTGCGTGCCCCTCGCTCTCAATGTTACGCGTGATATTGGATCAAAATATCATGCTTGATATAGATTTAGCAAGCTACTTTCATATTGTGAGATTATTTACATGTAAAAATTAAGCTGAGGGTTGACTCGACGCAAACATGATTTCGTTGCACATCGTTTTCTTAGAAAGAGAAGGTATATAGTTTGCTATCTCTTCACCGAAGCTACTGCTGCCTGCAGTGACGGTAGTTTCGGGTCGCGTTTGGATGTAAAGCAAAAATTGTGAAACTCAAACTGACCATGCTCACAATTTTCCAATCACATTTTTTCATTTAGTTTTTAAAATTATTCCAAAAATTGTTGATCCGACATTGTTGAACACTCATTGTAGCACGTAAATCATACCATATGACCCGTAGTTCGTGTGACTCGGTGGAAGTATCATCATGAGATTGTTACGAAGCGGTTGGGGTTGAACATTTAGATCGCTTTGACCCAGGATAACAGACACGAAAGTCTATCACCTTGCCGTAACCCCATTCGAGATTCAAAAGGACTCGACTGTGTCCCCGATACTCTAACAACGCACACCACTCGATTCATTGTCGCCTTGACCAATCGCGTCAGTTTATCCGGAAATCCGTACTCGTGCATAATCTGCCATGGCAGATATCGATTGATTGTGTCGTATGTGGATTTGAAATCGATGAACAAATGATGTGTGGACACGTTGTATTCGCGGCAATTCTGGATACCTACCGAATTTGGTCCGTGGTAGCATGGGCACCCATGAATCCCACCTGGTATTTCCCCACGAACTCTCTTGCAAATGGTAAAAGACGGCGGCATATAATTTGGAAGAGTACCTTGTAGGTGGTGTTCAGCAGTGTGATTGCACGGTAGTTGCAGCAATCCAACTTGTCGCCCTTTTTGTAGATTGGGCATACGACACCTTCCATCCACTCCTCCGGCAATATATCCTCCTCCCAAATCTTGGCAATTACCCAGTGCAGCGCTCTTGCCAGTGCTTCACCACCGTATTTTAATAGCTCACTAGGTAGTTGATCTACACCAGTTGCTTTGTTGTTCTTCAGTCGACCGATCTCCTCCTCAACTTTTCGAAGATCAGGGGCCGGTAGCCTGTCGTCTTCTACGCGTAGTCTAAGGTCTGTTGCCGTGCCACCTTCGCTTTCTGCTGCATCACCGTTGAGGTGCTCGTCATAGTACTGCTCCCACATCTCAATCACCTCAAGTCCGTCCAAGTCTATGCACATATCGGCTTGCGGCACAAAGGCTACGCGAATTTTTAGCTTCTGGTAGAGCTTCCGTGTGTCATTTACGCGGTACAGATTTTCCATCACCGAGTCTTGTATGTTCCGCGCTTGTCTGTATCGCTCCACATTCAATCTCGTGCGGTGTTGCAGCATTCTTGCCCGTGCTGCATTCTTCTCCTCTACTAACAGTTTGCATTCGCCGTCAAACCAGTCATTTCTTCGGTTGGGGATCGCAGTGGCTAGTGCCACTGCAGCAGTACTACCTATGGCGGAACGGCCATCTTCAAGAGTAGCTGCGCCAAGCTGCTCTTCGTGGGTAGTGCAACTTCCAGGACCATCATGCACCGCTTTGGAACTAGGACGGTGATCAGCCGCTCCTAACATGGATAACAGACGCCGTTTTGAGCCGCACCTCCATGGTGAACAGACGGCCGGGTTTGGCGAAGCATTTCCTCTATCACCGTACTATGGTTACCGTGCCAGTGTTCGTGTCGCACCTCTTCACTTTGCTATTGCCGGACTGGCAACATTGCCCAGGCTACGCTTCCCAGCTGTGTCCATGTATTAGCAGGTAGTCTTTTGTTATCATATGACTGGGGGAGGCGTTAGGTAGGAACTTGTGAAGACCAGAGCTAGGTATTCCGCTCCTTCCAGGTTGTCAACTCACCATTTTGTAGTGCAAAATGGTAACAATAAGATAATAAATGCTCTCCAATCTATTTTGCAGCTAAGATCTTGAAGTTCTACAGGCTCAATATAGTCTTGAACAATGCCCTGACAATCTTTATGAATCCATGCAGCTCAAGAGAGCCTTTTGACAACATGCGCATCATAGAATGGTAGCAATAAGATATTCAAAGCTCTCCATACTATTCTGGAACTAAGATTTTGAAAGACGGAAAGTCGGAAGAAATTTTTGGGGGAATTTTTGAATTCGCTTCTTAAGCAAGCCAAAACATCTTCCAGAAAAAGAAACTCTTTTGGAGTAAGTTTAAAGAAAGTTCTATGAAAACTCGGAAAAACATCCGGAAAGCTTCCATCTTCTGGGTAACATTTCAAAAAACTTTTGGAAAAAATTGTAACATCCAGAGGAAGTCAGAAAGGTTTTGGATGAAAATTGGAAAAATCCACCGAATGAAGCTCATGGAGAAACATCTAAAGGATTCGATAGATACTTCCGGTAAAAGTTTGAAGGAACTTACTGGAGAAGATGGAAGAAATTTCCTTTCCTTCTGAAGAACATCAATAGCATCTTCTGGCGGAAGCCAGAGCCCTTTCGTGACAGGCGTAAGAAGCTTCTTGGTGAAGTTTGGGGAAAAATCTGGAAGAAAGAGTTGACTGCTGAATGTCGAAAGAAATTTCCGGTAGAAATCGGTAGAATCTTCTAGGAAAAGGGAGCACAATATTCCGGGGAAAGTTGAGAAAAACTGGCGGAAGAAGACGGAAGAACCCTTCGAGTGAAGCCAGAAGGAGCCTCCGGGAGGGATCGGAAAATAACTTACGGAAAATCATCTGTTTCTCGATTCCTGGGTAGCCGAAAACGGCGAGGAAATAGATACACTAGTTGAAAGAGTATCAAGCGTAATACGTTTTCAAATATGAATATTTGAGCATTTGAGCAAAACATTTTTCATATTCAAAAAGACTTACAATAGTTTTATTCTGATATTTGAGCGCAGGTTGGCAATAATCATTTTGATCATTTAAAAAAAAGGTATAAATCAGTATAGAATCTCTAAAATCGGTATTCTGAGGACCCTTATCTAAAAATCGGTACAAATACCGATGAATCGGTATATCTGGCAACGCTGGAGCCATCAAAATAAGAGGGGATTGATCATAGCTGAATACATTCGGTTGCTTTATTCGTGAGAATGTTATAGAAGACCCACAGGCGCAGCCTAGAGGGGGAGAGGGGGTAGGGTTCAATCATCTCCCCCAGAGCGTCGAGGAACATTTTAAATTGAAAACTCACCTTCGTTGCTCGATACCCTCCCTAGCTCGTTGTTTCATTATCAAGTTCGGGAGAGTTGACTATGCTGAAGACTGTATGACATTTGAGTCAATTTGAGCGTTTGTTGCTACTTGAAAAAACAAAATTCGATTTCATTTCGATTCTTCAGACTTCAGACAGATTTTTCCGAGAAGGCTCTTCCAATTTTTCCCCGGAAATTTTTCCATCTTTCGGTGTTTATTAGGGTATTTCTTACGACTTTAACCGGATGACTCTTCCCCGTTTTTCAGGAGACGGATTTCACGCCAACTCATCCAGTGGTTGGCAGCACCCTCTCAGAACCTTATGGAACTTTGTGGGTGTGGAGACTTAGCAATTTTAAGCAACTTTGCGTACTTATTTTTTTCAAAATTTATCTCGCCTAACATTTGATAAGGGTCAAAGTTTTTTGTCGATTTTTTTTCAAATCGATATAGCTTAAAAATGACAAGCCCTACAAAAAAGTGATGTATGGCGAACTTTTAGCAAATAATCTGAAATTTTATAAAAAAATTTAAATAAAATAAAAAATCGGTTTCTACACTCTAAAAAAATATATTTAAAAATTAAAAGTCATTTTCCCAAAAATGGTACCCCTCAGATTTGCTTGATATTTTTTCTCATGAAAGGCAATATAATTACCTAACTTTTCTTCATACATCGCAAAGTGGGCGCTTTTAAGGAAAAAAGTTGTTCGAACAACAACTTTTTCATGTTAATTTTTTTTTAGCGTGTTTGACTCAAAGTCGAATAGTAATACGCGCACAACTTTATTAAAATTCGATTAAACTTTATGGGTATACTTTTCGATAATCTGGGCGAAATCTAGCCTAACATTTGAAAAGGGTACAGAGAAGTTACCTGCAAAACGTCCAATAAGAGTTCAGAACAAAACGTTCTAATGAGGAACAGCCATCTCAGCATGGTTTGCACTTTCCTGTGATGGATTGTATTATAATATATGCATACACTCTATCCAACTTCTATAAAACCACCCTCAAATTGTTCCAAATCAACAGGTAAACTAAGTAAAAATCACTTAGTATGTTTTATTCATGAAAAGATTTCAATTCATGTATTTGTGATTAATTTAATTAGAAAAATAATCATTCATTTATTTTTATGTATTAGGTGTGTCCATTAGTAAGCAATATGCATATATGTTTATACCTCATCTCTCAAGTGAATACATATAATAGCGCAGGTAACTTAACGATTATTTAAGGCATGCCTAAAATAATCGTTAAGTTACCTGCTATATAGCAGTTATATAACAACGCAGGTAGTCACATGAGAGATATAAGGTATAAACTTAAAGCACCGCAGTCTGTTTCTACCGACATAATCTAATATTTAAGTTTGGTG